GAATATTGCTGCTTCCAGCAGAATAAGTAGTTGCTTAATTGTGCCTATCTAAGTTACAGAAAGTTACTCAATAGTGCTTATGCAATGGTACTGGATTGTTCAACGCAGACAATTAATACCCACAGAACCAGCCAGACCCTGACAGCAATCACTAGGGCCCTTTACACAGGGCAATTCTAGCAATTTGTATTCAGAAAATAAGCTCAATGAAGCTTGCTTTGGATTAGAATGTCACCAATCAATAATTGGGCTATTGTGGCAATTGTAACTGCTGATGTTACAGATGTAAGCTCTGATAAATATTTGCAAGATCCCATGTGTGCTATCATTTATATATTTTTTATAAATATTTCTACAAATACTATTGAACGTATTTTATAAATTCAGATTATTGCTGGTAGTTTTGCAGATTGTTAAACCAGCTTCTATAACAAAAACTTATTTTAATATAATATTAAAAATTAACAATGATTTATAGTAACTAGGTATATTCAATTTCCTAAGTCAAATCACATCCTGGAATAAAGGATGCAAATACGTTATGGGCTATCCAAGGGCTACTATTTCACATCAACATGAAGCCACTAAGTAAAATGATTACCAGTTTGGAGTGTGGTATCATCAGTAATCTATGCCTTTCATAATTTCTTGCATTAACTATTGTTGTGTGCTCTGTACAGGGCTGTCCTTGAAAACTACTTAGAAGCTGCAATTGATACAACCTGCCTAATAATGAACAAAAGCTGCCAGTGTTACATAACACCTGTGTGAGGGTTCTGCAATAGGTTTCAATAGGCTTCTGAATATAATTCAAAACGCTCATTTTAACCTGAGGAATGTTCTGTGGCTTGGTGCTTAGATATCTGCAGGATTGCCTTTTTCATATAGAACCGATCTATCTTCTCCATTGTTCTAAATGGGAATCTCAAGAATATCCTCCCCCCTCCGAAACAGAGGGCAAAAGTATTGTTTTGAGGACACACTTTGGAACAACTTAGTTCTGGACATTTAAATGAAGTCCTCCTTTACAGTTTTCCAGAAGGCAATATAGACCGAGTTCTTTCATAGTATCAGTTGAAAAATATTGGAAATTGCTTATTTGGTTGGGGTTTTTTTCTGGAAGATGTGTGCCTCTGATATGCTTTTACAGTTCCTGAGCAATTTGTGCAAATCACTGTAAGTCTACAGCACTTTTAATATCTCTGACTTCAAGTAAATAAAGATATACCTAAGATACAGAAAATTTAGCATTTTATATGTAAACTTCATGTGCTAGATATCTTAACAGGATACCTTATTCTGCATAATGTTCTAATGCTGGCTTATTTTGTTTGCCCTACAGTACTGAACAATGGAAAACTCATTTCAAAATATTAAATTAGAAATATTAATTCTTTGCACAATATCCTGAATTGCTTTATTTAAAAAGTTGCTAAAAGCTCAGGCTATTTATCCATCTAGTCCTGTACTGACTAGTACTAATTTCCAGGATTCAGGTTCTTTGTACTAGATTTTTGCTAAACTGAAGATGCCAAGGATTGGAATCTTCTCTCTGCCAAGCAAGGATTTTGTTAGGAACTCTGGACAAGACTTTTGACAACATAAGGGTACATTTTGATTAACTCAGTCAAATCAAATTAGGAGATTAAAAAAATGCTTTGAATCATTCTGTAAATCATTCACATATTTGAGAAGGTTTCCAAGAAATGCAGATAGAATGGTCCTGTAGATAAAAGGTATTGAAGCTATAGCTGCAGGCAAGCCTTCTTCTCTTTTATACCATGTTATGGAAAAAACGAATTCTGAGGATAATTTGTTTCTTTCCATTTGAGTATGGATGGGAAGACATGACCAAAGATTATGCACATTATAATGTTAAACCAAGGATCTGTGGTCCCAAGGATTCCTTTTTGGCAGAGAAAGATCTTAGTTTGTTTCCTCATCCTGCTCATTGTTACTTTCTTTCAATTTTCCCATCACCAAAACGTTGCTTGACCTGAAACTTCCATAGTTTCACATGTTACTGGAAAAACTGGAAAGAAAATACTCTCCTCGGGTAATATTTTGTCTAAAGTGACCACTTAAGCAAAGTTTATAAAGATACATTATATGCAGATAATTGCCAAAGTTTAACCACAATCAGATTAAAAAGAACTAAGGATCTTTCTGTTTGAATTAGACTTTACTGAATTGGGCAATAAAGAGAAGGAGAAAGATATTTAATGTTAACACAGCAACAATCCTGAAAGAGTTGAAGTAGTGCTCTTATTTCTGAGTAGACATTATCCTGAAAGTACTAAAAAAATAAATTTGTGGGTTGTAAGGTTGTTTGCAAATTTTTAGGTGTACAATAATGTTTCAAAGTAGAGACTGTTGTTTGAATATCAAAATACTTTTAAAATATCAAAGCAGTCCCTTTTGAATGTGAAACAATTGTTTCAAACCTGAAACAACTACTTTAATGTCTAGGTGGATAGCTATATATTAAATAAGGGAGTGGAGAATTATATTAATTATAAATAATTTTAACATGAAATCAAATTTAGTTTGTATCCTTGTTTCAACTACTATCTGGAGGGTGACTCAGAGCACCCAAAAGTTGGATTTGGCCTTCAACTAGGAATAAGGCATATATCCTCTACTTTATGGCAAGGAAGTATACAAATTACTAAATAGTCTTGCTTCTCATAACCTATACCCTTGAATTATCCTAGAATGCAGCAATTCTTCAGCAGAAAACAGTCCAATAAATCTGGAGGATGCTAGGCTGGGCAAGATTGAGCTGGACAAACAAGTCAGAAGCTGATAACAGCTGGCAGTGACTTTTGTATGTGCCATTTCAACTATGTTATCAAGTTTACATTAAGTTCTTGAAGCAGAAAGAACTAGTGAGTTAAATAAACTATTGCTGCCTAATCTTTTATACAGATCTCAATTAAGCTACAAGAAATAGCAAAAAATGCAGATAAGGCTAAAAGGATATTCATTGGACTTAACAGAGTAACTACAGAACATAGTCATACCACCTTTAAAGAAAAAGTCATATAATTGCTATTTTAATGTATTGTACCAAAGCATGTGCAAGCCCTAATAACTGTTTGTTAAACATATTATAATTGGCTTGATAAAAATATTATACTGAGCCATACATCATGGTTTATAATACCTGGATTAATATAGTATCTTACACAAAAGCTAAATAAACCACCTTATGGCTGTTCACAATCTGTGAACCTATCTTTTGTGATTTAGTGACTTTCAGGGTAGGTCAAATGGCTAGGCTCAAAAACAGTAGCTGTCATTTCTGTAAGGAAGCTGGACATGTCAGTTGACAAATTACAATAAACAGGGAAACATAATTTATCAATATATTATATGTAGATAAAATGCAATTTTATCTAAATCCTTTGCTTAGCTAGGGTACACAAGGTATCCTGTACTTTACATATTTACCTCCCTCAGGACGGATATACATCACATATCTGCATAATTTAAAAATGAAATATAATAGGTAACTTTACTAATAAGTATTTTCATACCAAAAACATATGGAACAATATACTGTAATACATGCTATAGTCTTGACCATTTATCGTCACACTCTAATACCTATTAGACAGTTAAAAGAAACTTTAGCAAAATTATAGGACAGGGCTATTACAGATATAATCTTAAATCCCAGGAATAGTTTATAGAAATAAACTAGAAACTCAAACCTTTTTTTCCAAAGAAAACAGTGACGCCTGAAAGAACAAATGATATTGGATATCTAACAGACGTCATTCATTGACTTTTTTTATTTGTCTTTCCTAGCTGGAAAAGCAGCTTTTAATTACCCTAGCAACCAATCTATATATCTCATGGCTCTCAATTTTTATTGGATCGAGAACATTTATACAGGTAGCCCTCAACTAATGATCACTATTGAGCCCAAATATCTGTTGCTAAGTGAAACATTTGTTAAGTGAATTTTGCTCCATTTTATGACCTATCTTGCTACAGTTGTTGAGTGAATCATTGCAATTGTTAAGTTGCTAACATGGTTGCTTGTCAGAAGTTTACAAAGGATGATCACATGATTCGAGGACACTGAATTGTCATAAATATGAGTCAGTTGCCAAGCATCTGAATTTTGATCACATGACCATGGGGATGCTGCAATGGTTGTAAATGTGAAAAATGGCCAGAAGTCACTTTTTTCAATGATGTTGTAACTTCAAACAGTCGCTACATGAATTGTTATAAGTCAAGGACTACTTCTACATCCATTTTCAACCAGCTGCTTTAGATCCAGCACAGGATCATCTGGCAGCCAGAAGCAAAGAAGGCATTTCCCAGATCAACCAAAAGCAATCATCCCAAATGTCAGTGTAATGGCAAGATCTCGGAAACCCGGCTCCCCATCACAATTTAGGATTACAGGCAATCCTCAACTTACAACCACAATTAAGCCCAAAATTTCTGTTGCTAAGTGAGACATTTGCTAAGTGAGTTTTGCCCCATTTTATGACCTTTCTTGCCACAATTAAGTGAATCCCGGCAGTTGTTAAGTGAATCTGATTTCCGGGTTGCTTGTGAGAAGGTCGCAAAAGGTGATCACATGACCCTGAGACACTGCAACTGTCATAAATATGAATCAGTTGCCAAGCATCTTAATTTTGATCAGGTGACCATGAGGATGCTGCAAGGGTTGTAAACGGTCCTAAGTCACTTTTTTCAGTGCTGTTGTAACTTTGAACATCACTAAAGGAACTGTTGTAAGTCAAGGACTAACTGTAATCCTTTCTACCTAGCCTCCGATGCTACTCATAAAACAGGGCATCACCTTTCAAGGGTTTCAAGGCATTAGGGAGAATGCAAGGAAGTTTCTGGCCCAATCCTTGCGACTTCCTTCTTGCTCCCTCGGAATGGGGGGGCGGAGGGGGGCATCGAATATTAGACACTCGAACCCCAACGTTCCAGCCATGGAACCTTCAGCCCCGAAGGTTCTAAGCACTCACCAGCCTGGGAATTGGCAGCTCCCGAACTGCCTGGCGCAGGGCGACTGAAGCGCGGAACTCCGGCGGTAGCCGAGGAAGAGGCGAGGAGGGCAGACGGGGAGAGGGCTCTCTTCACTGGAGCCGGCGAACGGAGCAGCATCGTCGAGGAAGAGGCAGAAGAAGGAGTGCAGCAGAGGTTAGACAGGGATGAACATAGGGACCTCAGAGAGCTCTGATACATAATAACGCTACGTACGGCACACGAGAAAGATGAAGAAATTAAAATTAAACAGCTCCGCAACGGGAGCGGGCTAAAGCTAACCTGCTCTATGCCAATATCGACTTCTTTCTGCCTTTCAGAGCCCGGAGAAGGGGCACGAATTGGAAAATAGCCTCGGCTGCCCGCTGCAGTGGCAGAAAGATGCCAGCCCAGGAGAAGCCCACGGAAAGTGCCACTAATAGCTGATACCGGGAACACGAGCACCAGAAGTACAGTCGCCCCCCCCCCGTCCTGCCGGCATTGACGCAAGCGCAACTTCCAAGAGTAAGATGAGAGCGGGGGAAGAAGGAACTGAAGCATTTCTCCTTCGGCTTCCTCATCTCGACGAATGGAAGGCGTTTGGCACACCTGTGAACGGAAGCTGCAGTGCGAGGCTAAAAAGGCAACTTCCACGCGAGGGAACAAATAGAGAAAGAAATCTTGGGCTAGATACTCAGTATGCGTGTTTCTTCCTCCCCTCTAGGAAAAATGGTATGTTCTAATCTTGGCACCGAAGTTCCCCGAAAGTTCTGTTGGTGACGTCACATGGAACGTTGACTCGTTGGGTGGGGGTGGATGCGGGGGTGTTGGCCGGAACCTCCCCCTATTTTCGCGCTGGTGGGAAGGGAAGGGGGCGTTGTCTCCCGGCTGATCGAGGTCACGCGACGTTTGGGTTTGCCCTTTCATCTCATTCATTTTTCTACTCTCGTTTTGTGGAGGAAGCAGGTCTTGGTGGAACAAGCTGATAAAAGCTTTCGATTTCCTATTCGCAATGCTGAGAAGAGCGCTTGGAACGAGACCTGAAGTCCTGCACATCTTACTAAATATGTCCAACTTTGTGTGTATTTTTAAAGCAATAATCGTGCCACTACTTTATAAAGAAACAATAGATTTCTTTGGACCTTTTTCTAAAATCTGGGGGGTCTCAAGATAAGTTGGAACTACAAATCCCAGAGTATCCAATCCTTTAAGAATGCAGTCCCAACACATTTCGAGGCCAGCAATTGGGGATGACTATTTTATGAAAAAATAACTATAAAAACATGCCTCATACAACAAAACAAATGTCATGCCTGAAATCTCAGGTGCAGAAGCAACTTCATGCACATATAAGCAAATATATTGGGAGGGACAGATTGAATAAGGTTGGATTAAGGTCTCTTTCCTCCTTACTAATCAGGAAACACATACCTAAAACCGGTTGTGATGTTTTGTAAGAACATTGTTTTCTTTGTTACTAATGTTATAAATGTTACTGATGAATTACTTTTTGAATAAAACGTAACTGGTAACTCTGATGTTTAAACCACAACTCATTTCATTCTAAATTACAGTTTGATTAATCTGGTGATTGCGGGTTTGTACCATAGTTTAGAGTTTAATGTGTAAACGCAGTCCCCTTCCTGAACTTCTTGAGGATCTGCTCCAGGGGAAAGGGGAAACTGGTTGAAGGAGGAAGAGACTGAGTTGCCAAGTGGAGAGCTATGGAAAATCTCCGCCTCCCTGGAATGAGAGTTCAAAGAGCTGGATGTTGCTAACACTAGGTCAGGGGTAGGCAACCTTGGCTCTTTTATGACTCCTGGACTTCAACTCCCAGAATTACTGAGCCAGCCATGCTGAGGGGAAAGGGAGAGGTTTCCAAGCTGAGCCATGCTGGCTCAGGAATTCTGGGAGTTGAAGTCCACAAGTCATTAAAGAGCCAAGGTTGCCTACCCCTGCACTAGGTAAAAACCAATGTTTGGTTCATTTGGTTGGATTGTTTAAAACAGTGGTTCTCAACCTTCCTAATGCCGCGACCCTTTAATACAGTTCCTCATGTTGTGATGACCCCCAAGCATAAAAGTATTTTCGTTGCTACTTCATAACTGTAATTTTGCTACTGTTATGAATTGTAATGTAAATATCTGATATGCAAGATCAGACTCTAGACTCCAGAAGATAGAACCATCCAACAAAAGGAATTCCACAACTACAGGTAGTCCTCAACTTACGACCACGACTGAGCAACATTTCTGTTGCTAAGCAAGGCAGTTGTTGAGTTGCACCCATTTTATGACCTTTCTTGCTGCAGTTGTTAAGTGAATCACTGCAGTTATTAAGTTAGGAACACAGTAGTTAAATGAATCTGGCTTCCCCATTGACTTTGCTTGTCAAAAGATTGCTAAAAATAATCACATGACCCTGGGACACTGCAACCGTCATAAATACAGGCCAGTTGCCAGGCATCCACATTCTGATCACATGACCAATTGAAGGAAAAGCAGCAAGAGAATGGAAGAAAGGAAAAGGGTTATAAATAAAAAATCAGAACCCCTGTAACATTTTGTGGATGAAGCGAGGGGTTATGTGACTACTTTTTCATGGAACTTTCCCAAAACAGAAAGATATAACTTTACAGCTGTGCCAGATTCCAGCTATTTCATTCCCTCCTTCCAACATTTTCACCTTCCACTGAGCGTACTTGATTCTCATCTAAATGTTTTCTGACAAGTCCCTCTCTCAATGCATTTCCTTTTTCCTAACAATTTCTGGCAGTGGAGTATACACTTCCCCAATCGGAGCCTCACCTTTGGATCCCGACCAGGTGGGAGGCAGAATAAAAGGAAGCCATTAAAAGGCAGGAGGAGGGAAAATCCTGAGGCTGGCTTGCTCCCGATTAATGACGAAAAAGGCAAAGGGAAGCTCACAATTCGGGCTGGCAGGCAGGCAGGGTTGCTGGCTTTCTCGCCCGTGCCAACTCCCTTCTCTTCGCTTGCAGCCGTGCGATTCCGAGTTTAAGCACAGCTCCTAGCAACCCCGAGGAAAATCCCATGGATGGGGGTGGGGAGACTCAATTAAGGTGCTTGCAGCCCCCCCCAAACAAGGGCAGAGACCAACCCCAGTTTTTTTTTAAAAAGCTAAGATTAAAAAAAATACAATCCAAAAGCGCTATTTAAAAAAGCAATTGTACTGAATGCATCAAGACGAGCTGGCGGAAAGAACAGATGATCGCCGGCACTTTTATTCACAGACACCAGATTCCCCCCCCCCCGATCATAAAATGTCCATTCCTCCCTCCAAAAGGGAGGGAATCAAAATACAAAAGGAACCCATCCCACAGCAAAGCCTTCCGGCGTGCTGATTCCACAGCTAACAACCCTTCCCTCCTTCCCTCCCTCCCTCCCTCCTCTTCCTCCTCCTTCTCCTGCCTCACCCCCCCTCAACTCCTCGCCATCCCATCTCCCCTCTTCCACCGAGGCGTGAGCGACTGCACGCAAGTGTGATCTGGAGCAGCTCTGCAGCTTCTGATTGGTGAAAAGGCTGGGAGAAGGCGGGCTGAATCGTTGGCTTTTCTAGCTCTATCTGAGAGGCGGGGAGTTGCTCCTTTGATGCTTTAAGTCTTACCATTCTCTGTGTTGTTTTTATCCGCCTGGAGACGGATAGAGGAGTGATGTCTCAGTTCCTAAGACCATCAGAAATATGTGTTTTCCGATGGTCTTAGGCGACTCCTGTGAAAGGGTCGTTTGACCCCCAAAGGGGTCGTGACCCACAGGTTGAGAACCGCTGGTTTAAAATGAATAAGATGGATGGGAGTGGCCGTATTACACTTGCCCACTCATTGTATATTTTGTATTTGGGACTGGGAAAAGATTTATTAAGCCAATTAATTATTGGGTTGACTTTGTAAACATTACTTTCCTGAGAGAGTAAGATTTTATTGCAGAGGGGTTAAAAATGGAGAGGAGAATATTGTCAGGGGAAAATAAAGCAGGAGCTGGAGGATAAACCATTCCAGGGAGAGGTTAGAAGTGTTATGATTGATTTCTAGTGGACTTTTCCATCAGACCATTTTCATGTAGATCAGTGGTTCTCAACCTGTGGGTCGGGACCCCATTTGGGGTTGAACGACCATTTCACGGGGGTCGCCAAACAACGCAGTCTGCCATTTTCTTTTCCCCTTTTCCTTAGCTGTGCTACTCCCTTTTATTCTATTGGCTTTCGAAAGCCAATAGGAATTGTCCAGGCTGTCTCTGCCCCGCTGAGCTCGCCAAAAGTCCCATTCTGCAAACGGTGCTGCACCAGTTGAGTAGTCCTCGACTTATGACCGGTTGAGTAGTCCTCGACTTACAACCGATTGGGGGTCGCGGCATTAAAAAGGTTGAGAACCACTGATGTAGATGAAAATGACAAGGGGATTAAATGGAGTTACTAATTCTGTGGGGTAGAGGGGACCATTTTGACTTGCATTGTCTAAAATCGATCTGGATTAGAGTGATGGATAAATCTCATAAAAAGATAAACAGATTTTAGAATTAGAGCATTATAATGAACCTGATGGGTGAAAAGTCCCTGGTAAAGTGCTTCTTCCCATGCTACTTGATAAATATAGTGCTATATACAGAATCTGGTGATACAAAAATGGCAATACCAATTTTAATGTCTTTAAAAGGGGATTAGTTTAATCATGGTGTGGATGTCCACCAATGGTGCAAGTCATTCTGGCTATATAACTATATTCTGGATTTGAGTTATTACAGCTCTGAATATCAGTCGCTTAAGGTACTGTAACAATAGTTATTTGGACTTAAGTCACAATGCTGGAGTAAAAGGGTCTTTGAATTTGGGATCTTGTAGAATCTAGATTGAACTCTTAAATAGAGTTAAAACTAACTTAATACTGGTCTCAACTCTAACAGTGCACAATCCCAGATAATTGTTAAATGCAGTGTGATACAGATAGATTTAGTATATTGAAAGGTGAATCCTTAGCGTAAGACATGAAGACAAGCTATATTATTTTGGATTTAAATTGTAGCTCACTCTAATATGAACACTAGTTGCTTGAATTGCTCAAATTAATCTGCTTTTACTTTTTATTTTTTGGATACTACTATATGAGATCAGAATTATTATTTGGTTAAACTTCTTCTAACCTAAATGTAAACTAGAGAGTTCTCTGGATGTATCACAAGAAGATACTAATCCTGTGTGTTGTATACACAGATACCATCTAGATGAACAATCTGAATGATAAATTACCTCTGTTAAAAAGGGCTGTCAATTTTTGTCTCACATGGCAACTAAAAGATATATTGGGATCACAGCTGAAAAATTGGGATGGACCCATGGCCAAAAAAATCTAAATTTAATTTAGATAAAATATAATAGAATAATACCGCATTATAATAATCTCAGTGTATTAATCTTCTATTTTGATTATATTTAAAAAATATTAACTCTGAAAGGGCTTCTGAGGCATGCCCAAGATTTTCAGCTAGTGCCAGTCAGAACCATTGATTTAAGCAACTTTTGATTTTCTTGAATTATGTTTTAAATTGTAGTGTAGCCCAAGGAACACAAGGACTTCTTAGGTCAGAAATCCCACAGAGAAACCTCAATGTAGAATTAAGCTGCATTATTAAACAGTTGTTGTTAGAGACTTCTTTGTCTCCAGATGATTCATTTCTTGAGCAATAGTTCAATTCCAGGAAAGGAAAAATGCAGACATGCCCTTCTCCAAGCCTTGCCATTCAGGATGTGTGTAACTCCGAGCTGAAAAAATGAATCACACACAGAAACCAGAACTGAGAGGACGAGATCACAATTCTTATTTTTAGTGATTTCAGAAATTTACTGTGTAATTTTAATTATATCATGGTATATTCTCAGTAAATATTTTCAATTGTTAGGAACATTATGCTAGTCAGAGAGAGTCTCTCTCTATATATATTAACAGTAGATTCAGGCTGTTGTATATGAGACCCTCCCTCAGAAGGTTGTATTGGGAAAAATGATTTTTTTCATGGATTCCTTTGTGTTATGAAGTTAAATGACTCATTATGGAGGTTAAATGACTCATTTTTCACTTTTATTTGTCAAGGTAAATTGGCTTGATTAAACCTATGTTTCTAATGCTGTCCCTATTCTTGCTGCATTGGTTGATCTGGTTTCAATTCTAATTTATGACTTTTTAATACTGTGATTTCTACATTGCTGATTTATTTATTTTTAATTGTAAAGTAAATTGATTCATAGACCTTGCATATTATATGCATTAAAAATGGAATCCAAATATGTAAAGAAACATTGGTTTATTTCACAGTACGGTTTTATTTGTTATGGTTAGGTTCTACAACAGAGTGTGTCTGCATATCTGTGTATACAAATATACACACAGATATTCATTCTATCATGCCATTTCTCAGTAAGGTAAGCAACATCACACAAAACATAGAAAATAAGAAATATTAGGTCCCAAAGTAGGTCATTCATTTTTGTATTCAGTCTGTATTCATTCTTGACTTAATTCTTTTTCAACACACATTTCTTAAGTACCCATTTCCCAATACATATAACTTATTTGACATACCTAATTCTGCAAACCATTCAGGTTCCCAGCCAATGTCTGTGTAGAAAAGTACTTGTGTATACAGTACATCTCCAGCCATCACACCTGTAACATCAAGACAAAATTACTTGTGCATTTCATTAATGCATTATACAATAAAGATAACATTACATGTCCTTCTCTTCCGGCTAAATGTTGAACTATTAACCAAGCATTCCTTTTATTGTCACAGAGGCTTTATTTCCATTATATATTACCTTTATCCCATCCAACAATCAACCATCAATTCCATATTCATGCAACACATTTCATAATTCAAGACTATTCTTGAAATTAAAGAAGCAAGAATGACATGGATTTCAAGGTGTCTAATTCTAGTCTGGATAAGTACAAAATCTTCAAAATTTTGAATAAATTCCCAGCCTCAGTTACAGTAGAGAGAATTAATTAAAATCAATTTCTTCTCACTTGCATCTTCTCATGTAAACTAAACACTTTGTTCCCTGCCTTTTCATAATCTCTGACATGTATTTAGTTCAGTGTCCTCTTTTATTATCACTGTTTATATGAGGTATAAGGACAGTGATTTGTCCAAAAACATCAAAGTAAGATTTATTCATATTTATTCCATTTATATCCCATTTTTCCCATTCAGCTGAAAACTCATTGACATTCAAAATTGATAACTGATGTTGTGTGGAATTTTGAACTAGGATCTTGTCTGCTCTAATGTAGTACCCTAACCACTACATCACTTGCTTTCTGGTAATATGTGCAAAGCACTGGAAAGCAATATATATATTATTAACTATAGCATGTTAAAGTTATTTACACATCATTACAGTTAGTTTTAATTAGATAAGATGAGCTACTAGAGAAACTAGTTTCAGTACCATCTTAATTTGCTGTGTAAAAGTTTTATTAATTAATTTCATGTTCAAAATTATATACAGGTAGTCCTTGTATATGGCCCCACGACGGAGCCTGAAATTGCAGTTGAAAGTTTTGCAGTCATTTAGCTGGAGCATCATTTGACTGGACTCAATTTTATGACCAGTTTACAATGATCATAAAGCATGTCACTGTGGTCATTAAGCAAATCACATAGTCATTAACTGAACCTTGTGGTCTTTAAGTAAGTCCAGCATATGCAGTGGTCATTTTTTGCCATTTTCTGCTGGAAAACATAAAAAAAGTTGTAAATCATGGTCATGTGACCGTGGGACACTGCAACCAGTTATAAATGTGAGCCAATTGCCAAGTGCCTAAAATGTGATTAACATAACCTTGGGGGTTGTGCAGCACTTATAACATTTAGGTTGGGTCATAACTACATACAGTCTTCAGCCTACAACCCTTCATTGATTATAATGATACTGAAAAAAGTGACTTACTCCTGATCCTCACGCTTATGACTGTTGCAGCATCCCTACAATCCAAGACCAAAATTTGGGTGCTTGATAACTGAAATGTATTTATGACCATTGCAATGACCAGGATCACATGATCACTACTTGTGACTTTTCTTGCTGGCTTCTGACAAGCAAAGTCAATGGGGGAAGCCAGATTCACTTAACTGTGTGATTTATTTAGCAACCCCAGCGATTCTCTTAATGACAGCAGCAAAAAATATTGTAAAATTGTACACAACTGACTTAACAACTGTCCTGCTGGGTGATGGAAGCACCAGTCCCAATTGTGGATGTAAGTCGAGGACTATCTATAGCTTTTTTGAGGTCTGTTGTAACTTTGAATGGTTCTTAAGTGACCATGATAAGGCAAGGACTATTGTAAAGTAATATGTCAATACAATTTTTCTTTTGGATATTAAGATTACAGTTTTATATAGCATGTACTTGGGAATTGACATGTTAGAGAGTCCTGTCTGAAACTTCTTAAATTGTTCCATGTATGAGTAGCTGAGCTAATGTAAATGAAGCGATTATGTGAATGATTTGAAGAG